ACATACTAATTAGATCACACCTTCACAGTAGCATATACCAGCTATAAAATACTTGAAGTGAAAGAATCTTAAAAGGTGTCATGCATGGAAACTTTTTTATGAGGTACATTCTGTAGTTTTAAATTCCAGCAATATTCCAGTATCTAACGTCTCATTGCGATTAATGCAGTACAATTTGGGTGGCAATGGGAGGCGTAACGCTTCTATTCAATTCAGTTTATCTGTCACTGATGGACACTATTATAACACCCTTCATTAAAAAAAATATCATTATTTTTTCACAATATTATGTCCAAAAATAAAGACACATAGAGAAATACAAATGCTTCTTTTTAAGAATTTTCATTGTATGAAATTTGAATTGTTTGATTATAATTATATAATGGGACTATTAAAATAGATCCTCCAACTTTCATGTCAGATAATCTCAAAACTTATTGTTATGAAGTTATTGTAGTCATGGTAATTAAAGTCAGAAATGTGGCAAAAAGATAATAATATGAGTTGAAATTAAGTGCTTTGTGATCATATTCTTGTATAATTTAGGATGCTTTGGAAAGTTTTACTTCATGTTGAAATATTTTATTTTATTTTTTAAAATTTATTTATAAAATCATGTAAACATATCTACATATCAGTGATAATGACACCCTAGTGGGTGTATGTCTTATCACAAGCTAAAATATTTATAAAATGGCATATTGTTAGTTACATTTATTATTGATGTTACAAAGTGTCTCAAAATATAAATTATATAAGCCAAACTGGAAAACAAATAAATATGATGTATAAAAGATATATAGAGATTATCCTATATGAGGTTCAGGATATTGGGATTATCCCGAGGCCAATATAATATATTTGCCCGAGGGCCGCAGAATATAAAGAAAGGTAAAGCCATAGGAATTGATTACTTACCCGCTGAAGTATTCCAAAATGATGCATCTTTAACGCTACTTATAGCACTCTTCAATAAAATATTTACAACTGGCCTTTACCCAGAACAGTGGAAAAAGGCCATTATAAAACCAATACCTAAGAGTCGTATAAAGGACCCACGAATTCCCCTTAACTATAGAGGCATTAGTCTCCTATGTACAATGGCTAAGCTATATAGTTCTGTTATAAATACTAGACTTTCCCAGTTTGCTGAAACCAAGATTGTTGACGAACAAAATGGATTTAGGAAATTAAGATCTTGTGTGGACCATCTATTTGTTATCACAACTATCATAAGAAATAGAAAAGCAAAGGGCCAATCTTCTTTTATATGCTACATCGACCTGGAAAAATGTTTCGATAAAATTAATAGAGATTGTTTACTTCTAAAGCTTAGAAAACTTGGTATAAATGGGAAAATGTATCAGACACTGAGTAGCATGTACGCGCACACACAGAGTACAGTTAACGTCAATAATAAACTAACTGACTGGTTCACTACAGAAACAGGATGCCGCCAGGGGGACAATATTTCCACAACAGCATTCTCTATATTCATAAACGATTTGGCCCAAGAATTAAAATCAGCTGGGTTGGGTATTAAGTTTGGTGATGATATAATTTCATGTTTGTTATTTGCCGATGACATTGCTATATTGTCTGAAAATGAGAAGAACTTGCAGGAATTGTTAAATCTAGCTTATAATTGGTGCCATAAATGGAGAGTTAATGTTAATATTGATAAATCCAATATAGTGCATTATCGTAAAAATAGTACTCCCAGATCAGATTTCAAATTTACATTTGGAACAAAGCATTTAGAAACCGCCACGCAATATAAGTATCTTGGATGTATATTAGATGAAACACTTAACTTTACTACAACTGCCGAAAATCTAAGCGCAGCAGCAGGCCGAGCTTTGGGGGGCCTCATCACAAAATTTAGGAAACACAATGGACTTTTCTATACAGCATACACAAGACTTTATAACACATGTATACTCCCAATTTTGAATTATGGGTCCGGCGTTTGGGGAAACAAAACTTATCAATGTACTGACAATATCCAACACAGGGCAATGAGGGCATTTCTAGGTGTGCATAGATTTGCATCTATCCCAGCAATGTACGGTGATTTGACATGGATGACACCATTAGACACTAGAAAATTAGATATTATACGTCTTTGGAACAGAATTACATTCATGAATAATAATCGTATCACTAAAAGAGTGTTCATGGAAGATTATCAAAATGGGAAAGCAAGTTGGTGCAGCGACTTTAAAAAACTGTGCATTGATTTAAATCTTGAAGAGCACTACCGTGATCAAACATATATTGACTTACGTGTGGCACGAACCAGACTAATGAAGAAACAAAAAGAAAAATGGCATCAGGAAATTCTTGAACAACGTAAATTACGTACATATGTTACTTTTAAAACAGACTTTAAACCAGATCAATTCATTTTATGTGACTTGCCAAGAGGCACTAGATCACTGATTTCACAATTTCGGTATGGAATTCTACCTTTGCATATTGAAACTGGCAGATTTGTAAATACCAATGTAAATGAGCGTTTTTGTAACATTTGTAAGTCGGGTGAAATCGAAGATGAAAAGCATTTTATTTTTGATTGTAGTGCATATAGGAAAAAAAGAAATGAGTTCTTTGAAAAATTGGAAATAGGGAGTCTGACTTTAAGTGACATTTTTAAAAGTAAAAGATACACTAAGATGTTTGGTCAGTTTTTAATTGACATAATGCAGATCAGGAAAGACTTTATTTTTAAACAATAACTAGTTATTTTAAAATGTTAAAATGTGTCTCATAAGCCCAGATAGGGCTGGTTGTATGATATGATACAAGTGACACTTAAATAAAATAAATAAATAAATAAATAAATATCCTGAACCGACTATAGGATAATATGTTTATCCCATACCAATCTTGGTCATCTGGTTCACATTGTTCAATCGTGGAAATATTTTAGAATATTCATGTCCAGTTTTGTTTTCTTGGCCGTGGGCGGATTTTCCTGTTCTCTCAAATATTCCCACATTTATTTCTCGAATTTTTGATTGATTAAGTGGATGCTCTTTCCCTTTTTTAAACCATCAAACAGATCCCGATTGTCTGTGTTTCTCCATTGTAGTTTACAGTCATTACGCGAACGTTACAAATTATGAAGAAATATGCGAGCGGCGATTATGACGTAGCGGGCAGATATACTATATCTGCCCGCCCGGAGCGGGACGTAAAGCTATATCTGCCCGCTGATGAAAATATAAGTTTTTACAAACCAGCTTTATGTACCCGTAACATGTCCAAGTATGGGATAAAATAAAATATATGAATGATGCAGAATAGCTAAATGGAAAAAGGTGCATCTGTTAAAAATTTGTACAGGGTACATCATAGAGACTAATTACATGTCTTTTAAAGGCTCGCTTAAAAATAAAAAAAATGGTTTTCTGTTTATATATTACATGGGTAAGGCGGATTATAAGTTAAATAAATTCAAATATGTTCTCAGTTCTCTAATCGTACAACAGAAGTCTAGTCAAGGAACTCTGACGCAGGTAGAAATGCAATATTTTAAGATATATAAACTATATTTTTTGTTTAAACTAGGGAACCTTCATCTTTGAAGTGACATATCAAAGCCTAGATAGTAACTTACTTATACATAGTCTCTACAGATAAGCTACTTCTGACACGCAGAACAGCTATCAATATAATACAAATTGTTTTGCTTTCTCTTAAACAAACATAAGCTATTTTTAACATTTTTGCAAAATAAAATTTCAAATGTTTCAATATGAACTGTATTCATAATTATTGGATTGACCCATCAAGAGGTTGGCTATTAGATTATTTTCTGGTGGTACTTGGTGGTAGGTTTACATATATTAAAGCACCAAAATGAAGATACCTGTATTTGAAAATATTAAACTTGAATCAAGAAAATAGAATTATAAAAATTCATTTTGAAACAAGTAGAACCATTAACACATTGCCGCTTTTTCTGAGAGTAACTTAAGTTTTCACATGCGCCTTTTCGATAATAACTAAAACGAGAAACTACAAAGAGGTTTATCGCAAAAAATAACTGAATTTTATCGAATAACTCTCTGATAAGATGACAGGAGATTTGTTTTCTAAATGTACTAATGCTTTCTAAAATATCAAAGAGGTGTTCAAGAGAACCTTTCTCAAGCATTTTGGTATTAGAGGAGATTCTAAGTACCGTAAGTAAATTATAGAGAAATAATTGATTTGTTACAAGTTCAAGTTTAGTTTTGACTAAGAACTAGGAAATACAGTAAAACCTGCGTATAGTGAATTTCAATGCAGCCACTAAATTGTGTTCACTGTAGGTAGATGTTCACTAGACACAGATATTCAGAGAGAGGTGTTCACTAAGACAGGTTTTACTGTATCTACAAAGCATACAGAGCCACATGACCTCCTGGCTCAGATTTAGCAGTTCCTTGAATTTCTCTAACAAGACATGGTAATTAACTAGAGAAAATAAATGTTACTTTAGTCAAAAGTCGAATAATTTCTACCTGGCGCATGGCAAGCTTATTAAGAGTGGTGTCTGAAAGAGTCCTATCATTTCATATGCTGAGTTTTTTCTTTCTTGAGTACCATATCAATACATGTAAAGTTAAAATCAAATGACAATTATTTAACAATTTCATTGACTAACATAGATACTCTCTTTTGATCTATGAATTGTATATTTTAAGATTTTAGCTTTCCTGTGACCTTGACATACAAATGTAAATATAAGTGTGATATTTCCTAAACTAAAGAAGTAAGACATATTGCTTCAAGAACCATTCAATTCAACAATTAATACAAAACCAATCTGAGCCTACAAATATGGAACTGACATTCCCTTTGACCTAAACAGAAAATCAAGGAACCATTTACAAAAATCATTACCTAGACCAAACAATTTACCTTGAGGACTTTGGCTCATTTAAAAGCACAGTATTCACTTAATTTATATTTCAAAAAATAGATATTAGACTAAATTGAAACGCACTTACCATTTTACCAATCATCATGACGTAAGGACCAAGGTACTTGTTAACGCTAAATATATCGAGAATCCTGATGTACCAGAATACAATGTCCACACAATAGATGACTCTGCCAATAACATGAGTGTCATAATCAGGTTGCATGCGCAAGATGAATCCAATCGTGAACAACAATATGGCAATTGTGTCGCAAACATTCCAATTCTCACTGAAGTAAACAGTGAACTTCTGACTGATTTTGACCGGCTCAGAGGAAATTATCTGAAAATATACAAAACAACACACATGAAAAAAGATGTAGCTTTCTGATGGATTTGTATATTTCTACCCATTTTCTAAGGTAAGTATTATTATCACATCTCACTGTTGTCTCCCAGCATTGAAATAACAAAGGTCAATCCCAATTGTTAAAGGCAAATATTAGATGTAACTTTAAAAATAGGTTATGTTGCAAAAATAGGTGAAATTGTAAAAGTAGGTGAAATTGTAAGAGTAGGTCAAATTGTAAGAGTAGGTCAAATTGTAAAAGTAGGTCAAATTGTAAGAGTAGGTCAGATTGTAAGAGTAGGTCAAATTGTAAGAGTAGGTCAAATTGTAAAAGTAGGTCAAATTGTAAGAGTAGGTCAAATTGTAAAAGTAGGTCAAATTGTAAGAGTAGGTCAAATTGTAAGAGTAGGTCAAATTGTAAAAATAGGTCACAGAACAAATACTCAAGAAAAAGTATAACTGATATTAATAAAATCTACAACATAGCTTAATATGATCAATAAAATTGACTACATGTGATTTACATTGTAAAGTTTTGATGAATATTACAATGTCCAACTAATTGCAAAAAGAAATATAATTCGTCAATACATTTATTCCAACATGTTTTATCCGATTTGGAAAAACGGGGGCATTTATTGTGCGAATTACCAATATGGGGCCCATAAAATGGATATGAACATTAATCCAGACGAATAGTAGTATCATCTTGCCATAAAATTGTTGAAAATATGTTCATAAAGTGAGCCACTTAACAACAATAAATGTATTTTGAAAAACAATGTAAAGTTTCAATTATAATATACAAGTGCTACAAATAACAAAAAAATATAACAGCAACAATTAATCAAGAGAATATAACCTGTAAACAACTGAGAAAATATAATTAAGTTAAGTCAACTAAAAAGACTCAGAAGCTATTTATTGCTAAATTATTGCAACAATAGTCTGTAATTAGTCAGAAGTTACCATGAGCAAAATAAAGTCTTAGGTCATATTTTCAATAAATCACAGCATCAATGTCTCTTGATGTGATTCTATTGTTTTGAAAACAATCCAGAAAACAACTACATGAAAACATGTAAAGTTGAACACATCTGTAGGTGGAACACACTTGTGTGGAAGACTTTTCAAAGCGCTGTTGTGCATTAACTCCATCTAAAATGAACCTCTGTAGGTGGAACACCTCTTTAAGTTGAACACTTCAAAACACTGTTACCCATTACTTAATTTAAACCTTTGTAAATAGAACACCTCCAAAGTAGAACACTATTTAGAGGTACCAACTGGTACTAACAATGTTCTAACACAGTATTTTCATTGCACTGGCGGATTAGGGGGGGGGCCTTTTTGGTCATTACTGGGCCTTCTAAGGCCTTATTTTTTATTTCAGGCCAAATTTTGAAGAAAATGTGCCTCAAAATTTCAAAATCTTTTTCCATGCAAGCGCAGACGTTTTTTTTCTCTGACCTGAAATTTGGGCCCCCCCCCTTGTTGGTTCCCAGATCCGCCCCTGACATTGTGTGGTCTAAGAGGAAGTATTGTTGTCATACATACTCCATTATACAACGAGTAAATCAATTATTCTGGTTATATTGCGACATCAGCTATCATATTGTTGTCCCATTTGTGGTCTTATGCTTTCTCGGAAAATACGCCTTCTTATTTAATACAAGTTAGACATTGTGGGTGTTTGCCACAGTAAATGGTTAATAACTTTGTTTTATGTCAAAAACAGAACCATAATGTGGTTAAATCCTTTATTTTCTAGACTAGCTTAACTCACATTGTTCTACATATATATACCTACAGTTGCTTCAATTAAAAGAAGTGAAATGTCTAACATGAAAACTGCAAAAAATAAACCAAAATGTCCTCATTTTATTATATTGATATAGATAGGACTGTACAATAATATGAACACATTCTTACAGGCAAATGATAAACTAATGATAAGATTTTGCAGAATAAAGGGGACTTTCCAAACTTTGAACTAACTAGCATTATGTTAAACAAAGTTACATTTTTAACATTCAATGAAAATCAGTCAATTTATATTGAAATTTACTTCAAAACATGTACCGCCATCCACCATCACTTACAATATGAGATGATTCATAAAAAATTATCCAATTTGGCGAGGCCCAATAATAGATTGATTTCATTGTACTAAGTGTTAGGCTCAGGTGGCACTAAATATATTATAAAACAACTATATGTTGTATAAGATAACAAGTCAGTAAATTGGAAGCAAGAGATTGGAGCAAGAGTCTTGCTTCAAAACCCTGAAACCCCCTATCTACTTATCAACAAAAACCAGTTGTAAAGTAGATAGGGAGGGGGGATCCCCGGGGTATTGAAGTAAGACTATCAAAAGTAACTAAATGTAAAATGTTGTAAGCAGCAATATATTCCACACAATCCTAAATTTAACATAAAATTTGAGTTAACTGGTCAATATGGGAGTCATTGAAGGCCATCCTCCAAAGCAGGTATCCAGAATCCGTACCTCCTTCTTCCCCCTGCTATAACCACTTTGGAAGCGTCCGATTAAACTGAATTACGTGATCTAATTATGCGCAATGATTTATACATGATTTCTGTAGCAGTGTTGGGACAGCCAATCAGATTGCGAGTTCTTAATCGGGGAAATGCTAACTGCTTATTGCATGGAGTAAAAAGAAAGAATATATTCTGGATTTTGAAGCCCTGTGATCGGAGGATGCTGAAGGCTGGAGAAGCAGAAATATCCAAATCCAGTAGTCCAAGGAATACATGTTGGATTGTTGGTGTCCGTTCAGCAACACAAAATGTTTACAACATAGCACTCTATATAGCACTAAAGGGAAATTCATGGAGTGAGTGGGCAGAAGCGTAACACAGACGAGATATAGATTAGAAGTTTCATAACATCGGAGCATCTTAGGTTTTAAGACAGAAAGATGAGCAATTACCACATCATATAACATATAATTCAGAATATATTGTCCAAGTCTTTGGTAATTGGCTTATTAATGCTTTACACTCTTCCCACTTCGTGTAACATTTACCTTCAGGATTTGACACAGTCGAATGTCACAACGATCTAGTGTGATCATTTATGGTTGTTTTTCATTAATGTCATGGTAATAATCTGATAATGATAATAAAGATCCGGATGTATATTGTCATGTGTACATGTTTATTTCTAGTAATCTTCATTAAGTGGTGTTTTTAGCATGATTGATAATGGAACTGTCATAAAATGAAACTGAACAATCAAATATTATTTTAGTATTTGTTTTTCTGGATCTTCCTGAAGATCAACATGAATAAAACACTCCTAAACTTGACTATGTCACAGGGAAATATGCCAAGTACTAAAATAGTACTCATGGGATTTTAGTGCTATTTGAGTACTCATTTAAGTAAATATCAGTACTAAATGTAGCACTTATGACATGAGTACTGATTTATTGGATGTTTTAGTATTAAATGAGTACTCATATGATGAGTGATAAAATAGTGCTAATTTCATTGACGTTTCATTACTCAATGAGCACTCATACATATGCAGAGTAGCCTACTCAGTTGGTACAAAATTACATGGAGTAAATTAGCACTCAAGCTCAAGAGCTTGGTTTTGACAGAGGCTAATTTAGTACTAATTTTGTACTAATTGAGTAATCAGCATATCTCCCTGTCTTTGATTCTAAACTAAACCTTGGATCAGAGCTGGGTTTTTCAAATATCTAAAGTCAGGTATTGTCTATAAAAATAATTATATAAATGTATAAACTGTATTTTTTATTATTTGGTGCTCTCTTTATTGGAAAGCATCAAAATGACAATAAAACTCCAACTGCCCTTACTAAACAAGCAGCTATTGATAATGATGAAGTAAAACTCTGTAAATACATTTAGGCTTTTCCCCCCATTTATGAACTTTATTTAGTTGGCTTCCTCTTTGTCATTTTTCTGGCTGCACATGGAGTAATTTTCTTGGACACCAAGGATACAAGTCTCAGAATGTAAATTAAAGATGGAGTGTAAGGATTATATGCCATTTGGCCTTTATTCCCCATACCCAGTGATCTCCAGCATTAAAGCAAGTGGGCGCAGTACCCACCTGAGATTTTGAAAATACGCTTGTACCCACCTGAAAATCAACTTGCACCCACTTGAAAATGAGAACAAGGGACAGACGTGAACAATATCATACCTAAAACACAGCATTGTGGTCTTGTTGACCAAGAAAGCAAGATGGCCGCAGAAGTTAATCAGCTCTAGAACTTATCACTGTGTAACATATGTAAAAATTTGAACGGTTTGGCTGGAAACCTGTAGAAAAGTCTTGAAAATGAAGATTTTAGGACGGAAAATCCAAAATGGCCACCTTAAAATTTACCCAGAATGCCCAAAAACCAATCAGTTCTTGACGTTGATATGTAGAAACATCCCTGAAAATTTCAGATGAATCCCTCAAATGGTTTGGCTGAAAATCTGTAGACAAGTCTTGAAAGTGAAGAAAAAGTATAAGCATACTTTACAGTGATGTATCTGTCACCTGCTACATCAATAGCATTCAAAATGGAATTGACTCAAGATGAAGGAGATAATCTCTTACATAAATCTGAAGAACAACCCAAAGAACAATAAAGACTTTCACTGTATATATTACGGATCTTAATCTAGGAAGGTCAAGGTTATTTTCTTTGCTTGGTATTCTCCGCAAGTACATTTATTCTGCTTGGCCATGATAGACGAACCTGAGCTTTTGTAAGAGTAAAGAGATTTTGAATGAGTTGTGAAGTAAGAACTGAAAAATCTCTTCCGCTGATGAGCATATGTGTAGGCCCTGGGAAAGATAGCAGAGAAAAATAATACTGCTCTTAAAAGGCATATGGGAAGCATGTTGAAGATTGCATTATCTCTTTCTACAAAATGCAATAAAGATATACATTCATCGCAAACGTCATCAGTGCTTGATTCTGTGGATTCAACCACCTTGACAT